GGTAAGCTGAGTGGGTTTGTTCTTTTTGGTGCCTTATTATACTGCACTTCTCTCTGTTATTAAGCATCGGTACCTATGGGGTACTGTTGTGTGTGTGGATTCACTAATTGGGGTTTATTAATAATGTTCTATGTGAAAGCATGAATGGTGTATTTTGAAGTTTAATGAGATGTGTTCCTATGAGGTACAATTGGTGTGATAAGGCTTTCTGGTGTTATATCTGTGTGTTTACCTTTTTGCTCTTTGTGTTTCCTATTTCTTAGTTTATGATGCACTAGTGTAGTATTATAAATAATAAAAGTGATGCCCTGTATGCTATTTGTGTGTGTCTGCGTTGTTGGCTCTAATAGAGCCACACTTGTGCAGCAGACATAGCAGGGATAAGGGGTTGTTCTGGTCCCATGTGTGTGTACGCACATTCTCGATGTGGGTAAGGAAGGGAAGAGGGACAGCTGCCAGTCTACAGTGTAAGATGTACTGTACATGATGTGTTTACTCCTTCACTCTCATGAAGTGAATGCTTGCCATTACTGTGAAATGGAAGGGGGATTAGTGTTCAGTGAAAATATATAGAATCCTAATTGGTATTGTTGATGTACGGCACTAGTAGTAGTGTAATCATCAATAGCCCAACCAGTCAGAGTACTCTGGATAGCAAGAGTAATGGTAACATAGTCTCTCTCTCTTGGTGGGTAGTTAATGGCTTTTATTGTGGATTCTTATTTTGTTACTGTTAGTTATTATTCTTCAATGTTTGACAATGGTAACTGTGCTATATTCTGTGGCTGATGATGATGATGAGGATGATGATGTACTTTGTGGTGGTTTACTGTGTTTGTCATTTGTGTTTTGGGAATATATATTTTTCTTTTCTGATTATGATTGTGTATTATTTTTTTTTTTTTATTTGCTCCAATGAAGGTGTGAATTGCCGAATACGTTAGAGTGTGAGTTATTACGTACTGTTCATGTTGTCCAACCCTTTGATGTGAATCGTAAAAAAGAATAGAGGCAGAATAAATAAAGAAAATAATCAGAGAAAACTTATATATAGAACGGTACAATAACAAAGTAATGAAAAAGTTGTTGGAAATGATAATATCTGTATTGTTGTTCTTGTTGCTCTTGCTGCCCTGTGTCTGTGGCCTTGTAGCTCTCCGTGATGATAGTTGCAAGTACGATACTACTGTGTGGAAGAACATGAGGAATAAAACTGATTATACACCTTCTTCTATTTCTATTGTACGGGAATTACCTCAAAATGGTAAGAGTACCGTTTCCCTCTACACAACAACAACAGCAACTACTACTACTACAGTAAATGGCGAAGAAGAGGATTGGATGCCTATTCGTATTCATGTGTCTTCTGAGGAATTGGATAGAGCGATGAGGCGTTGCAGTAGTGGAATGACTGATTCTTCACATAGACACTCTCCATCATGCCGTGATGGAAATGTACTCACACCTCAGAAACGAGACATTCTGTTGAATGAACTCCTTCCTGCAGCTATT